CCAAAGCACATTTCTTAACAAATTTGCTAGTGATCAAAGTTACTTTCTTCAAACTTGACAGACATTGAACCGCCAGATCTTGAATGTCCACCAAGCCAAAATCTAGTAGGTGATAATGATTGTATGGCATCGCCCACTTGGACACAACCTACTGTTATGGACAACTCTGGGGAGATTTTTCTACCAGTATGTGACTATAGAAATGGGAGCACATTTTCTGAAATGAACACTACTGTAACATGTAATGCTACTGATGATTACGGCAACATTGGGTACTGTACATTCAACATTATCATTATAGGTGAGTTTAATTATTTTATTTAGTTTATTAATAGAGTCGAAACGATTTTATTTGTAATTTCTGAATTATACTTTCTTGATTATGTTAGATGAGCTTGCTCCTATACTGGATTGTCCAGATGACATCATGATGTGCACTGACACAGGGGTTGATTCAATGAATGCCTCTTGGTATCCAGCTAATGCAACTGACACATGTTGTGGTGATACTGAGGCAAATGCTAACTACACAAGTGGAGATGAATTTACAGTCGGTGATACCACCGTAGGATATTCCGCAACTGATTGTAATGGGAACACTGGATATTGTCAGTTCATTGTTACAGTAACTGGTAGGGATATTTTTAAAGAATTGAAAAAAAACTCATAGATAATGTATAAAAAGGTGTCTTTAGCAGGATTCGAGCCTCTCGCTATGAAGGCGAGTATCATACCATTAGACCAGAAAGACAAAAACCAGGGCACCTTCAAATCAACTGACTCACACACCGTGTAGCTATGGTTATAGATTAGCTTATAGGCTGCAGCTAGGAAATCATAATAAATAATATTTGAATTAGGTTAGCTGCGTAACAATCATAAACACAAAGTAGACAAATGTATGTCAATAACAGTGTTCACATATGATCAATAAATGAGCAATAATAGCACTGTTATTTTTATGTATTTGTTTATATTTTCAAAAACTTTTTATTATATTATTTGTGTCTTAGCTTAATGTATATTTCAGGGAACAATAAACTTTAGGTGTCTATTCTTTGTTATCCT